GTATTCGAACGATGGTCGCACTGCACATCAGACTGACTACATCCTAGTGCGCTCACGCTGGATCTCCTCGGTGGAGGACTGCCGATCCTATCGTGGCGCAGAGGCCGGAAACAAAGGGGGATCAGACCATACTCTAGTTCGGGCGAAATTCAAACTTCGTTTAACAACACGCCACAAGGTGCGACCTCCGAAGCGTATCAGTGTTGCCCCGCTTCAATGTTCGATAAAGCGACAAGCCTTGTCCAAACAAATCCAGGCCGAACTAAGCGCCGCAGATGAGCCAACATCCACATCTTCTAATACACCTGAGACACGATGGAATCATTTCAAAGAAGTAGTCTCTAAAGCTTCAATGTCGCATTTGGGTACCACATCCAACAAACAGAAAGACTGGATTTCAGAGCACACTATGCATCTATCCTCGCAAGCCAGAGACGCTCGCCTAGCAAAGTCTCCAGTTTATCGCTCCCTCAGGCGCAAAGCTACACAGTCTGCTAGGAATGATAGAAATCGCTATTGGTCTAATGTGGTGACTGACATGCAAGGAGCATCAAATGTAGGCGATTTCGGAAAACTTTATCGCCTCATACGCCTATCATCTGGCAAACGCCTTAACAGCCATGCTGTGTTACGCACAGCATCAGGAGAAATTATTTCGGACACCAGTGGTAAGATGGAACGATGGGCCGAACATTTCAAGCAGCTACTCAATCGCAACGCTGGTCAACCGCCTCATCGACCGATACAACACTTACCAACACCCTACGTAGTTGACTGTGATCCACCCACTCCAACCGAAATAGCTAAAACAATTAACAGACTCAGGAACAAGAAAGCTCCGGGCGAAGATGGTCTACCTCCAGAAATATACAAGGCCTGCACTCCAGCGCTAATCGATTCGCTGCACTCGCTGTTCTGCTCGATTTGGGATTCCGAAACCATTCCTTCCGATTGGAGCACCTCAGTTTTGCTACCGTTCCACAAAAAGGGAGACAGGTCAATATGTGAGAACTACCAAGGCCTAAGTCTGATTGATATCGCTGCTAAGGTTTTTGTTTCCATTCTCCTGAACCGCTTCGCTGCCGAACGCCACGTGCGAACAAGCCGGATTTTGACCTGGAAGAGGCTGTATTGATCAATTATTCACACTGAGAAGAATTTTGGAACACAGGGACAAATATCAACAGCCGACGGTTGCTTGTTTCATCGACTTCCGAGCTGCATTCGACTCAGTTGATCGAGGAGCACTCTGGTATCTAATGGAGCTCGACGGAGTTCCGACCAAACTAATCAACCTGCTCAGGTCATACTACTCCAACACCAAAGCTCGAGTCCGAGTGGACGGTGAAGAGTCTCGCACTTTTGAGGTAACCAGCGGTGTCCGGCAAGGTTGTCCAGCATCCCCCATTCTGTTCAATTTCACAATTGATTGGATTTTGCGGCACGCCCTAACCGAGCACCACGGCGTCCAACTTTCGCCCGATATTCACATAACCGACCTCGAATTCGCCGACGACGTCGTGTTGCTAGCTGAAAACTTCCCCGATATGCAACAGGCGCTCGATCAGATAAACCACCTCGCGTCTACCATCGGTTTGGAAATCAACACTTCCAAAACCAAAATGTTTTCGAACACATCCACCAGCAATGATGAAATCTTATACCCGAATGGAGCACCTATTGAAATTGTGCCATCCTTCAGATATCTGGGATCCATAATGCTTCCCAACGGTCAAGCGAAAAACGAAGTGAATGCGCGGATCTCCAGCGCCCGGAATGCGTTTCTTCAGCTGAGAAGCGTTCTATGGAGCAAGAGGGAAATCAGTCTCAGGACTAAAATTCGGGTTTACCAAGCCTCCATATGATCCTTTCTCCTGTATGGCTGTGAAACCTGGCCTCTTCGCGCGGAAGATGTACGCAGACTTGAGGTAGTAGACCATTGGTGCCTCAGGTACATTCTGCATGTTCGTTGGCAGGACAAACTCTCCAACGAAGAAGTGCGTCGTCGTTGCTACAACACCAACCAAATTCCAGTACTGGTCCAACAACGTCGCCTTCGGTGGTTTGGCCATGTTCTGCGCCGACCAGATGATGATCTGCTCAAATCAGTTCTAAATCCCTCGCCATTACCATCTTGGCGATGTCGCAGGGGTGGACAGCTGAAAACATGGCTTGGTAGAGTCAAGGCTGATATGGAGTGCCTGGGGCTACAAACCGTCTACGGACTCCGTCTGTGGAAGAAGAATTGGATAACCCTGTCGCAAAACCTTGCATCAGATCACCGCGCCTGGGCAGCGATGATTCGAGATGTTCATGAAGCCGGCTCATCCTCTCGTAGGAGATAGCCGAAGTAAAGTAAGTAAGTAAGTTAGCCTGTCGAACTGTTGCGAGTAACACACATGCGAAAATTATCTTCCAACAATGCCCAAACACATCTCCGCCGGATAAAATCTGTGACACTATTCAACAAAAGTAATAGCCTATGTCAAAAAAGCAAAACTACGTCAAAAATGTCTTCCGGTAGCTATGCAGTCAAAAGACTTCTCACGTACAAAAGACGTCCTGTACAGCAAAATTAACTGTCCAGTCACAATTGCAAGTTATCCGAAAGTCAGTGAGAATATTCACAGGAAGATGAGGCTAAATCTCAACAAAAACGATCGAGAGAGATAAAATTTGACAACCAGTCACAACGAATAAGACTATCAAGAGATACAATTACAACATCATTCGTGTAGAATTCAAATAAGTCCATTTCATATTAAACATTGTCGTAAGAAATTTTTCTATCTTGAAGGAGAACGGACAATTACATGCATCAAAAATTCGCGATGTATGGTGACACCACCAGCCAATGCAAGCTGTGAGCAACCATCCCCACATCTAGCTTGGTGAACCACATTGGACTCCTCACCCACTAGAAATCTAGGCAACGCCATTCCGTAGTCACTAATCAGTCACTTGTGCCAATGGTGGATTAATAGTTTCTTAAATTTACAAAATTGTATCAAGTTCATCAACAGATTGACACCAGTTAGAGAAACACTGAAAATCGGCTGGGATTACTGAACAGCTGGTTGTTTCACTGTAGTTTGGCTAAAAGTCAAGCTCGTAGACTAATACGCCCCATGAATTCTGACATCCAACACTTCAGGATATTTTGTGCTCCCTCAAATTAAAATAAATCTAATGGCCAATTCTTGAAACTTATTCTGATGCTTGATGGTAACTGGCTGCAAGGGGACGTTGTCTGGCATTCTGATAAGAAGTTATGATCAATGATGTGCACTCGGTTGGAAGTAAGGAGAGATATTCACCGATGAGATTGGTTGGCTGTCGCGCGAAAAATCATGAAGCGGTGAAAGTTAGAATTCACAGACTGAAGATTAAGTTGGGTTTGGTGGCTGAATGTTCAATCAGCTGCCCATGTCTACCCAAGGGTCAAGGGTTTGAACCACACAGGTGTGTGTACTGATGATGATTTAAAAATCAGGACAAAGCAGCCAGCTGTCCAGTACTCTCACCTGTTTTTTTCCAGTGGTTCTGTAACTGATATCGATCCGTAGTCAAACTTGAGAAACAAGTCGAATGCGTGCAAATTGACTCTTGTAAATTGTGTCAATTCACAACTATATGTATAAATATCACTCCATCTTATTTTTCACAGGTAGGAAAGATAAATGAAACACAGTGAACATGGACTGTTCATAAACTGACAAATTTTCATTCTTTGATGGTGGTGGTGGTGGTGTATCACTTATTCATATCAATAAACATTTTCTCTTTTACAAAATCAGTTCTGCTTACAAATAGTCAATGTGTCTTTCATATAATCTACTTCCATGATTCATCCATGATTTATCATTTGGATACACACAAACACACGTTGTATCGATTGGAACTGACATGTTATTGTCTAAACTCTGTAGATCGATCTTCGCCTTCCACTGTATTATTATTATTATTGTATCCTTTAATTCCTAGAGGAACATAGGGCTTCAGCCGTGCGTCTTCATTGCGGTTGAGATTTATATTCTAACTGATTACAGTCACGTTTTGACCGAAGGCATTTTGTCATTCACTGTCATCCACTGCCTATTAAGGATCATCATCTCCCATGAAATGAAGTGAACGTGCAGAGTGAGAGTGTCTGGTTTGTTGCTTGCAGCTGACAATTTTGCACGCACATTTAGATATCTGAGATACCTACCTATTCGATGGGATGAAGATTCCAGATATTCCTGTAACATTCACTACTGATGACTCCGTTGTTCAACTTCCTAGTGAGTTTCGGAGTCTTTACATGACAATTAGCTTCACATTTCACTACCATGCTGAAACTTGAAATTTAAACTCTTTCCTAATAGACCCTCGAATAACATTTCCTCTTATAAATTCTCCAAGTGACAACTTCACTTGATATATTCAGCGTGAAATGATGATACAGTTGCATGCATGTGAACGTCGCCTCCCTTGCATCAATTGATTTAGCCATTCGCTCACGCAATCACGTCCAGAATTCGACGGCTCGTTATTTGAATGAAAGGACGAATATATTATGAATTGTGTTACACCAGTAGGTCTTAGACAAACAGATGCTTTACACTTCAACTATTTACTTATCCTTTTGCATTGGTAAACAGAACGAACAGCAAATATCCCTGACTTGAATACAGAACACCACATTGATAACTTTCATGTTCCATGTGACATGCACTGTGAAATGGTCTGAGTTCTAGTATGCTTTCACCTCTTGCTATTCTACCCAATGTGATTGATTCCCAATCAAACATGTGGGAAAAGTTGATGAAGTAATTCAATTTGGAAAGCAATAATACCACAAATATATTTGAGATAAAGAAGATTTTCAATTTAGGGATGAAAAAATATTTTATTATTATATTTCACTAATACTAATCTACAAAAGCCTGTAAGAGGCAAAATTCATTACTGTAATTAAGTGTTGGAAATAGTTGAAAAATTTCAGAGACGGTAGTGCATCACTGTTGTTGTATCATGGGATACTGTATTCTATTGTTTTCTACTTCTACCTTCTACACAGAAAAGAAAAAGTACGCATGATTAATAAGAATGCAAACAAAGTGGAGAGAGTTAGTCGGTGCTTCTTGAATTTCGATGATTATCCCAACGCCTCTACTACCTTCCCACTGAGATTCATCAGCGCGCACACACACACACAAAATACACGACACCTCACTCTATCACATTCATCAAGTAAGATGTGTGACTTGATTCTACCTCAGTCTGTGTCATTCACTGAGTAAAATTGTATAGCCTCACAGTGTGTGAGATGTTTGTCCGTAACTACTGACTGACGAATGCACACCAACTAAAGGAGCACACTATCTCCCAAGGATGAGTTTGCACATTCATATAAAACAGGATGAAACGCCTCAATATTTAGAATGACACTTAACATATATGCAACAAGCGATTAAGCGCAACCTAATTTACAAGCACTTTTCAAAAGCACACAAATGGAGATTTGTCTATATCCAGCCTCCACCTGCAGAGTGATTCACGATAGCAGGACGATAATTCCTGTGTGTTGACTTCAAGTTGACTGACTCAAAGCGAAGACTGATAATGTCAACCACTCACGACTATTTAATTACATTCATTAGTATCACAGTAAGTTAGTTTATCATTGAGATTTAAGATGGATACGTGGTAAGTTAGTCAGATTGTTAAAGACGCTTTCAGTTTTCTTCCGTGAGACACGTGTCTTGCGAGCAGTGTGCAAGTGATCGATAACAGGCATCCAAATGAAGCTGTTCATCGTCTTCATGTCCGTTGCGATCAAGTCAAACTGTCAAAAATGATTGTCTGCCACCTGCCTACAGCACTGCATCATCAGTATGAAGAAATCGACTAATGAGTAGTTGGCACTGCTAAGTTAAGATCTTCCAGAGATGATTGGGACTGTCTATCTGGACATACGAAAGAGACAGGTTTTCTACAGTCAGCACACTTTTCTTCCTTCCAGAGAATAGTTTGTGATCAGTCATTAACAGGCTTTCTACGCAATTTCAGTTAATAAAAATTCAGCTCACATTTATCGCATCAGCCATTTCGCGAAAGACGCCACTGAGGACTAAAATTAAAATAAAAATGAAAAATTTGATTAATTTCTGTGATATACTCTCTATATATTCATGTTGCGTTCGTTGCACAGTCAATACTATAACGAGTGTGGTGTGGTGAAATGTGTCTATCAATTTACAACATCAATACTATAAAGATACATGTATGTTTTACGGGTGTGTGTGTGTGTGTGTGAAAGTCAAGTTCATAGTGAAATGAAATTACTTTTATCATGAGTCAATGCAGCCATGGACTTCCTTCCATCACTGATAAATAATTTTCGTTCTCACGGGTGGAATCCAAAGCCATTGTAACAGAAATGCATAGAGCTACAGGCTTTCCAATATGGTGGATTGACACGAATCGACATGTTCAAGTAGCAGGCAGCACGCGACGTGTGAAATGTGTGTACAGTAGGATTTTAATGAAACTGCTTCAACATGAAAGTGGCTCTTACACGAAGCGGGTGGGGGGGAGTAAATTTAACACTGTAAACCCTAGACAAACGGGGAGAATTGTCATATATGCGCTTACGAGAGAATTGGAAATATCTTGATCGCCATACGGATACATTTGAAATCAAACGTCTCAATCTTCGAAAACCTATCAAATATCGAATGGGAAATATCGAATGTCACAATACACAGTTTGAATGAATGAATTGTATCACTTCACATGAGATAAAAATCAAAATTGACAGACCTGATTTATTTTAATTTGACAGTGATGTGTTTTCGCACACTCAGGACAGCTGGCTCAGATGTGGTTTTCTGACAGAAATTCGATTTTCACTCTAACAGTTTTATTCAGTCTGTAAACAGCTTATATTTCTACCGCTCCTATGTATTCAGTGGTGTATATATTCAAGGATTCAAGTGCTTCGATAATCCGCTAACCAGATAATGCGGAATAATACAGATAGAGATACAAATGCATCAAGTCAGTCAATGACACCTGATATACAGTACAGTACTCACAATCATCCAGTTGTCGTGGTTTTCATTGGATGGCAGGAGAAAATACTCAAAAATGGCATGAAGTGTGCATGAACTCAGGAAAATTAATAATAGACGCAGTTGGCAGATCGATCACCAACTCCATCCATAGACAAATGTAAATTCGATATGAACCATTAAAGACTGATGTTGACACATGTTTTATGATCATCCATATTGTTGGTTAAGGGAGCTCCTCATATGAAAATATGCTGAGGCAATATCTATTCGCAAACTTAATCTTCTCGTCACCAGTGTGTTCGAGGACCATCTGCTATTACTCCCCTAACCAACTTTGGTTATCCTCATTTCACTTGGACAACCAAATGAAGTGTTAATTAATCTTATTATTCTTAAAGGCTTTCCGTCCCATTATGTACTTGAATTTCCCTGTATTTTTTTTCATATTAATTAGCTTGACAAGTAAATATGTGAGCCATTAATTAGATTGTTCAGAACGTATTCAACAAATACATCATATTCTTCTGATAATCTCCATCTTCTCCTAAAATCTCAATCGATATTTATAAAAGGGACTAAGTAAATTGAGGAAACAAAAAAATTTCGAAATACCGTGTTTCAATCGTGTTGGTTCTATGCATGGTGAATGTGTCAAATAATCCTGCTCAACTGTAAGACAGAGGAGAGAAGCATAACAATGATACAATGATAAGTACTGAGAAGTTCTATGAGCAAAACGACGATTCTGTGAGTTTTGCAGGCATCATAAAGTATTTCATTGGCCTTGAATTATTACTGCATCGCTGTGTGATATTTAAAGTAAGCTTATCTAACACAGTGCCCAGGCTCTACACTTATATTAAGAAATCAATGTCACTAAAATGAAAGTAGAACACCATCGGTGCTTAAATATCCGACTGATAAATTAAACAGCTCTGTTTTCATCCTTCACACAACAAACAAAAATATTAAGTATTACACCCATATGATGGAAGAATAGGGAAAGCGGGACAGGTATTTCAACACATGAATTCTCCATTTAATGCAATCACAACTACCCATGCGCTTTCAACTCCTTCTCACTCACATGACCTCCTCCCTTATTACTTTTATTTTGGAATATAGCTTGATTCCACAGCGTAATTTTTGGTACAGGTATGGATTTTTCAGCATGTGATATCGGTAGCCCGAATTTTGCAGGCCGACCATAGATATCGTGTGTGCGTCGGCAGGGGGCGAACCCCGGACCATGTGAAAGTTCGGCGAGAGTCCTAACCACTGTGTCACCATCACACTTATGTCTATCTTGTCGTTCTCGATTCAAGTCCACTCGAGCGATGACCTGGCATGCAACGGTCCCACGAAAATAATTCTGATCCATCTCCATCTTCATCCACAAAGTTGTTGGGCAATAATGTCTCGATTGGTTCGTTCCACAGCTGAGTTGCTTGTTTCTGGTGCCTTCTGGCAAGCCAAGCATATGACTCGCGGTATGGAACCATTTAAGTCAGTCCTTGATGAAGCTTTGCGACAGGGCTGTTGGAAATGCTCTTCGCAGTGTGCTTGTCACGTCTCTCAAACACCAAGAAGAATTGACTTACTAACATTGCTGTGAAAATCCGAATTAAGTTATATTTGTTGAGGCGGAGTGCAGTAGATTTTCAAACTGATTTCAGAGTGTTGAACGTCTGTCTTCTCTTTCCAATTCTAGGTGGTCGCTACACTCTCATGTGTCCCGAATGCCTGAGGTTGAAACGACGACGCCCAGTCAGATAGGTAGTTGAAAGTTGTGGTTTCTTTCAAATTCCCCTTCCCCTCATTCGTGCTTGATATGAATGTTAGCTGGTTATCCGCATCCCACTGTCTTCTCGATTTCCACTTGAATTGCTGTCTATGTTGTCTGCCTCTTCTTACAGCTTGGTGGTTTTCAGGGCCTGTAAGTCTTCGACTTTGCGTGACACTAGACACAAATCGGCTAGAAAGTTCAGATATTCTAGTGTCTTCTTATCACTTCCTATTTACTCGTTCCTCACGCACAGTCTTTCACAAAATCCAGCAGACCACCACCACCAGCAGGAATGTCATCGTTGTTGATATTTACACAAGTGATTCAATTGAGAAATCACAATGAATAGCATTCATTCATTCGAGTTCATTCGAGTCAGCATTCAATCTTAACTAAAAGCTCAATTTTAACATTTAATAAAGTTGTTCAACCCTAGCACAAAATGAGTTGATCACTTCCACTAACAAATCTTACACAACACAAACATTCATTCCCCGGTGAGCTGACTATTATAAGAAATGTGGATGGAGTCAAGGCGTTATGCACAAATATTCATTGCAATAATTATTCCTCACCTCTCAGTTTAGCAATCTCCATTCTCACAAACCTAATATGCGGCTTCATTACTTTTGTAAAATTACCTGAATGATATATAGAAAAGTGAACATTTACACCAAGTGTGAATTAACAATTACTTATAAGTAGGCAGCATGTCTAAAATGTGGACATTTTCAGTAGCACATTTAAGTAAATGAATGTTGAGAAAGAGGTTTCCGATGATCAATGAAATATTCATCACCCATTCATCCACTCACCTTTCCACACAAACAAACCCACACGTACAACAAGATGTAATGAGCATTTACGAGGATATTAGAGAAAATGTTTGTAAAACTAATTAATGAATACCTACCAAATTGTTTATCTAGATTAAGGAACTTCGGCAGGACTTCTGAAATTTGTTGGGAAGAACACGTCTTATATAAACAAACTCGCTGAACACGGAATAATAAGATATACTGAAATAGTTTAGTGAAGTGTAACATTCTGTGGAATGAAGCAGTGAGATGAAGAATATTTGATGACAAAGTGGTCCTTCAGTTAAATTTCGTTTTCTCTCTTTCCAACTTAGGTGCTATGATCACTATTCATCCCAGAAAAGGTTAAGAGCAGTTTGTTTATTTAATAAATTTCGATATACTTATTGGAGATAACGAAGCTGTCCTGGAAGAATTTGATGTGTATTTTTTATCCACACTGTGTCCCTACACACACACACACACACACACACACACGGGCAAACACTTGCAATTTCAGTTTGAATGAAAATTGAGTAGGTTTATGGTCTGACGAAGTGATCAGGGATTTAAGCATGTTAAGGATGACAACTGACACCACACTCCTGATAATCAGACAAGGATAATCGAAGCACGTTAATAGCAACCACAAATGATTTTCGTTCAAACATGTTGTGGTTAATTACACCCATGGTAATCACCTCAAATTACTTCAGTAATCAGCGGGTCATATGCAAATAACCTTAAAACCTCTTTTAATATTATTCTTATAACTAACGAAGTACAGTGAATCAGTTTAGTTTGTTCAAGCGGTTTGGATTCGCATACAGCTAACTCTTACGTCTCACATTCATCACTGATCATATCAGTCAGATACGACACTCCTAAATGCTTTCACCCCGAGAAAGAATTATTCACTCTGGTGAAAGTGTCAAGAGGTTTCTTATATCAAATTAATCATGCAATAAGAAACAAAAGATGTTGTTGTTGTTTGACCACGGACTGATATAACTTAGCGAAGGATTGGAAAGTGGCATGGCGAAGTGGACAGCTGTTTCGCGCTACAATCGGCCTCACCGGTAGTACACCGGTACCGACACTTTCGAGGTCAGGATCATGCAGTCACAAATCAAGCTCACAGACCATTCAGCCACTGTGATCCAACTCCTCAATGGTCAGCGCATGAATCGGAGCCTCTACAAATTCTTGATTTTCAGCCTGACTGCTCTCAGTCAGTGTTATCAGTGGGTGTTTATCCTCAACCGGGATCAGATATAGCCCACTGGTCACAAATACATATCAGATGTCTACAGGTCTTCACTTCGTTCTCCAGGCAATCAGTAAGTAGCTAGGGAGTATCTGATTAATTATCAAGAGTTGGTTAAAGACAAATTTTCAAAGAACTCTACAAACCTGCGTACAATCTCAATCGATATAATATCTCGGAGTTTTGAGTTGAACATTCTACAACTGGAAATTATTTTTTAAATATTTTTTAGTTACACATTCAACTTACACTTATCGAGCAGTGTTCTCCGTTTGAGTTTCCCCAACAAATAATCTAAATTCGGGGCGGGGGAGGAATAAGGTGAATAAATAGAAACATGTCATAAAACGTTCTCCACTATCAACAAACAAAGAGAAGTCATTCAGTTGATGTGGGGTGTGGAATTTATTCAAGTAAAGCTGTAATAACCTCTAGAGAAATGCAAGAGAGTCTTGTACACCTGAAATTGTCACCATCACACATTCTCAAGTTGACTTATTTCACGCTGACTACATAAATGAATTTCCCATAGGACTTCTCTCCTTGATGATGATTGATGAATTTGCTACTGCTGTTTTCGTCGTTGGTGATGATGGTGGTGACGATGACAGTGGTGGTGGCGGTGGTGGTTGTTGGGCGTCTTTATCATGTCTGTCTTTTGTGCGATCACGTTGAATCTGATCATATTTGAACAAGTCATCGAAACATTCTCAAGCTGACTGACTAATCTCATTCATCAGTAGAGAAGAGAGGAATGATTCCCACAGACAAGAAAGAAGTGAGTAGTTTTGTTGTTTTACACATATTCATCATAACTCCTCAACATTTAACAACAAGCATGTTTTGGTTCAGATGATATAGAGATTTGTTTTGCAGGGTGTCTGTCAGTAATTCTCTTGAATCATCTCCAGGAGATATTCAGTATACTGGCGGAGATGTTTGCATCATCATCCTACTGATGTCTATCATACGACATATTGCGTTGATGTGAAGACTACACATTATCAAAACACATCGACCTACTTTATCGTGCTCATTGTGGTAGGAAGTCATGTATTATTATTGTGAAGCATAAGTGAATATTCCATCAGAATAAAATGCAAAGATAAGTGAAATAGTGACGCGTACTTTTTGTCTCATTCATTTGCGATTCTGCAAACTTCCAATCGATTTCACTGCGATTCGCCATCCCTGTAAGGAAGTAGAATGTTTACTCACATGAATGGAGAACAGAGTCAGTCATTCAGACTACACAATAAATATCGAAAATATTTCATCACACTGATGTCAAAATGCTTGCAGAGGACATTAGGAGAACAAACAAACACTCCTTCTCACATGATGTTTAATAGAGAAACTCGTATATGTGAAGATATTGCCAATTTGAAATCCAAAATAATAATACGAGATGCATGTTGATTTATGTGTAAGTAAATATCACACATGAGCATGTGTGATGAACATGTTCCAAAACAATGGTAAAAATGCATATAATTTCTTCAAATGGTGAAAAAAATACTAAAGATTACTAAGGTCATCTCACCATCAAACGATTCCGAAAAATGTAGAAGCGTCTCATAATCTTCATTCCATCCCCAAAATCTGTCTAAAATGCAGAATAAATCCGGTACGCTCAAATACCACCTCATTAGTATTATATGAGTGAATTCTTAGGAAACCCTGTGCTCAAACGTCATCACTTCATTCATCTTTTTATACAGATTAACAGCAGCAAATGACCTGTGCATTCTCCCTCCATCTGGAACTGACTTAATTATCAACATATATTACTCTGAAGGGAAAGTGCATCAGTTCAAGTTTCCAGAATTCACTATTTTACTCACACACAGGGGTACAGACCAGTAATGCTATCCAACCTCATTGATCGGAAATGCATAAGTAAAAGCATAACTACATGAAGAATGGTGAGTATATGTATGTGTATGGATGTGAATTTGGAACATTAGAAGCGGTGAATACACATGTGCTCACTTTTCATACCGATTTTCAGCCTTATCACCAACAACACTCTCCTGCCTCGAACAGATTCATATTGACCATAATGTGTGAAGTGTGGTGTCGCTCTGATAAGAAGTGTGAATAACACACTGTGTTGGATAAAAATCGACTATAACAGCTGATCGAACTGACAACATTCACTAAACCTGTGAAGTTTAAGAAAGCACTGGCACTAAAACAGTCTTCAATGTGTCCACTCCCCTCCCTGTTATTACAGCTGTGTGTGAATGTGTGAGTGTGGATCTCCACGCCGACTGCAGAAATGAATTTCACGCAGAACGTCTCTCCTTGACACTGACTGGTAAATGTTGCTGCTGACATTGTTGCTGGCGATGGTGATGGTGATGGAGGTGGTCAGCCATCTATCTTCCATGTGCTCACATAGACTAGGCGAGCGAATATGTGAAACAGTCGTCAACCGTCAAGCGGCTTTCTCTCACATTCTCAAGCTAACTAACTAACCTCACGTGGCAATTGAGAAGAGATGAATGATTCCAACAGACATGAGGTCGGTAGTTTTGTTGTTTCACACGCATGCACCACCACCTCCTAAAAATGAACAGCATGTTTTGGTTCAGATGATATAGATATTTGTTTTGCAGGGTGTCTGTCAGTAATTCTCTTGAATCATCAATTCCAGGAGAAGATATTCAGTATACTGGCGGAGATGTTTGCATCATCCTACTGATGTCTATCATATGACATACTGCGTTGGTGTGAAGACTACATTATCAAAACACATCGACCTACTTTATCGTGGTCATTGTGGTAGGAAGTCATGTATTATTATTGTGAAGCATAAGTGAATATTCCATCAGAATAAAATGCAAATATACGTTTGCAGGTGACTTACTTCGATTCATTTCTTCAAAATATCTTCCATTATCCTCATTGCTTTTGTCGCTCTTCACCAACACTTAAACAGAGTATACATTGTATATATATGATCAATCTTGAATTTTACAGACTGAACTATAATTATATATATATATATATATAAATTATCTCTAATTTCAAAATATTCGCAAGCATTCCGAGTACAAAGAATCCTTCTCGTAGGATGTTTGATTGAAAAACTCATAGGTGAAGGATGATAAAAGTTGATTTTTTGTGGAAATATCAGCACGCACGCACACACACATACAACCATACACTGCATTGCAGGCATTTGGCAGGGAAATCAAGTTCCAATTTGTCTGTCATACAGTGCAAGCCAACCCCGCAAAATACGAACGAGTCAAACTGCATGTACTTTATTATTATAGTTAGAATATTTATTATTATTATTATTATGTATTGTCCTCTTACTTTTGAAGGAATCGCTCCAAAGAATACCTGTTATGTTGATGTTTTCCCCCTTTAAAAATAGACCTGAGAGAAAAATACACCAATAATAAATCCTATACGCTCAAATAGACGACCATGAGTATTATGAATGAATTTCTCATACTTCAGCCTTCGTTCACAATGTATAGAAATTTATTAACAGGTGAATTTCAGACAAACAGCTGTACATATTTTAGACAATATAACACATTGTTAATAATAATAATATTAATAGCTTTATTGCAAACAGTGCTTTCAGTTCAAATATGCGATTTCCAGCATGTTGTACAGTATTGCATGTCACCTTCTCATTACAGGAGTAATAGTTATTAAAAAGGAGGGTGACATTTAAATTGATGAAATTGTTCAATAAGAAAATGAATACAAAATTAAACTGGGTGAAAATATTACTAACAATGTGACAATGAAAATAAAATGAGGCTTAAATATACCACCGAGTTGGCAGTTCAGCAGCAAAATGCTCGCCAAACACGCCACACTTGTTTCGGGATTCTAACCGCCATCGCAGACTCACTCCTACACACGTCCAAGCCGATGCTCAGTCTCGTGAAGAGGGAAGTCCGAGTGTGGGGTGGGGTGGGGCTAGTAGCCCCATGCTGTGAAATATAAAACCACTGCTACTGAAACTTCATAGCGGAAATCAGAAGCATCTTGTTCAATCCGGAACGTAAAAGAGCAACATAAATACATAAGTAAAATATAGTCGTACTTACTCCTTCCCAAATTTGATTGTACAAGCAGTGGAGCGACGATAGTTAGAAGGAAGACTGTGCACCGATTCATCATGTTTATGTTTGATCATTCAATTCACGAGTATTTATACTAGTGCTGAAATTCAGATGTCTGTGAGCACAGTATAATCCTGGATGGTGGTTGGCCGATTCAATCTGTCTTACTTTATTTCACGTCTTCATTGGATTCTGAATGGAGTGATACCCACGTTCGATCAAATAACAACTTGTGTGAGCCTATCATAGAAGAGAAAATCAGCAGAGAGAATGGAGGGTGACTTCAGTTTTGCAAATATTTTCAAGCACTTCATATGTCGTTATAATTCAAAGGCGGAGACAAGTAAAAGAGCAGGTTTATAGCAAGATATTCATTGCCGCTCACACATAAATCACCTTTGCAATGTCTCCACAATCAATTTGTGGCGCTGAATCGGCTTCTTCTCAAAGCAGAAAATTTGCAGTAGACATCTTTGTGGAAATACATTGTCAGTGAAAACCAACAGTCCACCTGTTCCGTGTGACAAATCAAAGAGTTCTACTTCAAAATCTATACAGATTAATGCATAGAAGTGAAGACGGTGTATTCATTACCACTCCACCCACAATCACTTGTTGACCAACACTGGGAAGACGAAGCAGACAAGAAATCATCATTCAGTGCAAATTGTGAAATTCTGAATGCTGTACAAAGTTACACAGTGTCTTAAGGCTAGTGATGATTTTGGCACACAAACAGAATGTGACGCCTATTGGAATACTGACGAATAACATCCTTAGCTGAGTCCAACCTTATTATTATTATTTCCAAGGCGATCACATCGTCGCTTAATGAAAACAATCTGTGGAAACAGAGGCATACTAAAATCCTTTGCACACAAATCATACTCATTTTGATTGGACACTAGTAACTAGTGAGACGTTTCTAGATTTTTCTTTGGTGCAGACTGAATTCTATCAGTCAGCTTTGCAATGTGGCCACCGTGGCACCGTGCTGGTGAGCTTCCTAGAATGGCGGCCACAAGACACGTCGCACTAGTTACTAGTGTCCAATCAAAATACATACCACAGTCCTACAGGAGGTCAATCACGAGCCCGAATAGCTCAGTGGTAACGCCTGTGACTGCAGCACTGAGTGACGCAAGTTTAAATCTCAGAGCAGACGTGAGTTCCTTCAAGGTTGTAGGTACGCCTTGCTGACGAGCGTCAACTGGCACGAAACCTGTCGACTGCCTCCAAATATCCAGTCTTACTCATTGTTTATCAGACTCATGTGACCTCTGAGAAAATACATATCTCCATCGTGAAGATAATACTGCCTGGCGTGAGTAGTGAGCAAAGTAGCTGTCCAACCGATTACACTAGGCATCCATTTCACTTCAAAAACAAAGAAGTGAGAGGATGATAACAGCACTCGTATTAGCATAAGTTTGATTGTAATAACTGGTCGTTACATAATTTGTCAACACAGTCTCCCTTCTCATTCCTACTTGATGAGATGTCAGATGGAATCTCGTTTTGGTCATATCGCAAGGGTGGTGATGGTGAGCTTATATATTTTAGTGGAAGTGTGGGGGTAGCCTGTTTGTATCTGACGATAAACAATTTGTTATACAGTGTAAAGAGCAGGATGTTTGTGAAAGACCTATGAATTCAATGGACAGCCGGAAAAGTCACAATTTCACCTCACAGATATCACATTAATATCACTCACTTTTTTGTTAAGCATTTCCTGCATGCTGATGATGTGAACCAACTAGAATGTTGGAGAGAATTTATTTCGTAATCAATAAATTCATTATATTGCTATATTCAGTTTGACATTTGATGGTAGAAAGTATACTGACGTGAATCAATCGTGTTGCATGTGGAATCTCTTATTTCTGCTTAAATTTCTTATAGTCTGTTAAGGTTCTTTCAAATAACTTCATGTATAGCTTCGGTAGTATCACCTTTATAATTTTCTTTCCAGAAATCTAACTCTGCAGATGCGAAATCACAAGTCGAAATCGTTAAGTTCCAGTGCGCAGACCTGTTGGTAATTTTCTGTTATGATGTAAAGTATGACGGAAGGACTCCCATCCCACAAGTCAGCAGACAGACACGTCCCTTTAGTAGCTCCTCTTCAAAGCTGTTCAACTATGCGTTTGGGTGCTTATCCATACAGTCAGTATAGGTTGACATCAAGCGTGAAAAGTTACTGTCAGTAGCAAAGGAACTGAGTGAATCAAAGTGTGTGAGTAACAACTACGATTGTGAAAGTGAGAATAATCCTACGCATTCGAGAGGGCTGACAGCTCATCAGCAAAGTGAGGAATAACGGTTTGGAAATGGTTGATATGAAAAACAAGAGGTGAAGGGATTGGAAATGAGTTGCGAAAACATAAAACGGACCCCTTAGAGCTTTTTATACACTTACTGATCGAATCGAAGAAAGAAGAAGACAAAAATTTTGCACTAAGATTATTTCAATAAAAGAGGCTTGATAAAACGTTACCGAACACAAATTACAGGTTCCCTCTAGGCATAGCTAAGAATTCAGCTGCATGAAGAGGATGTAGGTGAAAGTACCTAGAACTATTTAGTCGTACTCAATTTGTGAATGCGAAAGTAATCTTCACGATACTACCTGCCAAGAAGTAATGATATGTTCCAATTACGACTGTTGACAGGCCAATTTTTTTCTTTTTGACAAACACGCTCTAAAATGTTGATAAATGCCTCTCGGAAGTGTGCAGCGTCTTCAGGTTATGCTCTAAGCTCTACAAAAACAAGTGAACGGGTTAACAAACACAGAAATAAACAAAGTGCAAGTAAATTTCGAAGATTCCCGTCCCCCACGCTTTCCAAGCATTTGATTGATGCACATACATCAGAAAGGTTGAGGAGAATCTCACTTTCCAGGTGTTCATAAATCAGTCAGCAGATTTGAGCTGATCTACCTACCACAAATCAATAATTCATTCGAATCAAAACGTCGTCAGATTATCTACATTCACATTCATGCATTTTCTCATCCATCCATCCATCCACCTATCCAGTCATTCATGATTCCCATCACAGTTTTGGCAATGTATAAAAGACGAGAGAGAGAAAGGTTTTTGAGGGTAGACGTTGTGAGGGTTGTGAAACAGAGGCACGGAAGTTAATTTCCAAAAAAGACATGCACTAATCAGACAAACAAACAAACAACTGAACCGACAAGCAAACAGAGAAACGTACAGGCAACAGTGGAATCTTCGTGAAAATACAGAAAATGAGAGGGAATACATAAGACGCTATAGGGGAATTCAAGTGAAATTCGAAGAAGAAGATTGTCAGTGTGAGTGTGAAAATCTGAATGTGAAGAAAATATTATAAGAATGTGTCCATTGAAAGCAAAACAGACAATCTTGCCTACGCATATTATACTAAACCACAGAAACCATAATATCTCGCTTCTGTTCACTCAGCTAGTAATTAGCTCGTTTTTGGATTTATCAGCGTGGCAGTAGTATTTCTAATTAACCGACATTCCTTCGATGACCTGAATCTTCCGATAACACAAAAGATTGACTGATAATTTCTGGAGAAATCCGCCTTTGTATTTATTGTATGAATATATATCATTGTTCAGAATAATAATGATAATATTAGTGTTAATGTTATCATTATTATTATTATTAATATTACAGAGTGTAGGATATCTCATCTAATTATCAGGTATCTTAGTGAATAGTCTCACTGCTCATTACAGTTCACAGTGTCTCACTCACACACTCACACACACTTGGAGAGAGAGAAAGAGAGAGACAGATGTACATTGAATGCAACACATTCACTGTCTCGCTGTTCAGTGCACAGTACAATGCACACACACTCTCTTTACTGAGCTAAACACATTTTCTGGCACTACGATGAAATATATCTGAGGGCGTGATATTAAAAATAAGGATGATGATTATTATTTTTAGTTGCCTTATACATGAAGCAGTGAACTTGATGCTGTGTAAGTCTCAGTATTCTGTACCATGTCACATCCAATTTACTCGACAACAGGAAAATCAATGCGAGATCATATTGCAGGATCGTCAGTGACAGACAGCATGGTTGTATTAGCAGTGACAAGCATATCAAAATTATTTTTAAATGAGTAGACTAATGATCGAAATGTTAGTCGGTAAAATTGTAAGTAAGTTAATTGAAACTATGTCAGCATGTATCACTCACACATATGAAAGAACTGAAGAGTCAATTGTTTGCTAATAACAGCGTAAGTCATATCTGAATCAAAGTGAACACGTGGGCGAAATAGGATATTGCTGAATTTTGTGCTTGGTTATATTAGCAGTTAGCATTTTCCAATTAATTCCAGTCTTGTCTAATGGGATGTAAGGGTGATTGATGTCAAATGTGGTGACCACTGGACGCTTATTTATCGGCATTTGGATGCAGACAGAAATGCAGGTGATAAACAGTTGCCTCATGTTTGTGACAATGTGTCTGATGTTTCGTCTCATAAGTTTGATGTTCATGTTTCGCCGCCTAGTGAGAATAGAGGGCTTCCAATTTACCGAAGTTCGAGCCACAGCACTCTGATTGAAATCCAGCAGATTATCTGCATTTTTTCAGAGAGTTTGAAGTCATGTTGAGTGCTTTGTAATAAACGAAGAAATAAGGTTGATGCATTTGTAGAGACAGTGCACTGACGTTGCTGTAGCAACCATACAGTGCACTTTCTTTCAAAAATATTACGCCGATACCTCGGTCTCGTCAATTTTTGTCGCCATTTCATTCTTTACCGTGCACAGTTGGCCCTAACTCTGACGAATTTGACAAAAGGTCACGCAAAATCGATGCACATGAATACTTCAGCAGTCGAAGCATTTGAAAAACTGAGAAACTTTACTGGTACGTCGGGACGTCAACGCTCCTATAGTTGCTATGACAGATGCATCAGACGAAGTCGTTGGTGCAGCTCTTCAACAGTTTTCTGCTGGGAAATGGCAACTTCTTTCCTTTTACTCCAAACGTCTAGACGCTACTTAATCAAGATATAAAGCATACAGTTGAGGA